AGCTCACCCACATCATACAACACCTGATGGAAGTGCTTGTGGACAGTTTGGATGGACCTCCTAAAGGACTGGTGGACAACCCTAAATCTTTGGTTGTGCCCTACAACATGTAAAAACATGGCAACCTGCTCTTCTACTGACACCCCCTCCCTATCAGTGACAAGACTCCTCCCTCTAAACGTTCTCACTAACTTAAAAAAAGCAGCTCTCTTCATCCTAATCATAGAAATACACTCTGAATCAATGGAGTTGTATATCATTCTCAGTGTTCTCTGTCTGTGCTGTTCATTTTCATCCCTAATCAGGGCCAGTTCTATAGGATCAGGCAGTGGGGTTTCAGGTTCAGGGGTTTTCCTTTTCAGCCTAGTGGATACAAAGGAAACCATAACAACAGTCAAGGCAACTGCCTTCCTACACAGCATGTCACGGCTCAAAGATAGATCCATCTACAAGCATGTAAAAATGTAACATGATTTTAGCTTAATGTACCCTGCTAGGCATCAACATGAATGTGAAATGAATGCATATGAACAAAAGCACGGCTACATCTTGTATGTGATGCCTCCCAGTGCTAAATTTGGACAACATCATCGACCAATGATGGAACAAAAAACTCAGAGCAATAGTAATCAGAAACATATCAACATCCCTAACAGATCAAGAACAGCAAGATACAAGTAACACTAACAACTGCATCAAACAGTTATGAACAGCAAGGTACAATACTAATCTGAAATAGATCAACAACCCTAACAGATCACGATCCCAACAGATCAAGAACAGTAAGGTACAAGTAACCCTAATAGGAGCATGAAGCAGTTATAACAAGTATAAAACCCTAACAGATCATGAATAGTAACAAATAAGAAACCCTAAGAACTTCAAGAAGCACCACAAAAAAGAAGATTGGGGGTCGATTTCACCATGGCTCAGGGTCCAAACAACGGAGAGGAGGCAGATCTAGAAGTAGAGGATGCAGATCGGGAAGAAGACGAAGCAGATGCGGACGGAGAAGAAGAGGAACACCGCCGCCACGGAGTCCCAGCAGCAGCCGGAGCGGGAACGCGGCGAAGAACCTCGGCGTCAGTGACCGAACCCACAACCAGCCGGAGGTCGCCGCCGCCGCCACGCACCACCACTCACTGCCGGTCTCTCACGAGGGAGGTGGAAGAGCAAGCACCGAGTGGACGAAGGAGAGAGTGGAGAGTGGGAACCCGTATATAAAGGCCGGCGAAATCACCACCATTTCGCTTCGCGCACGGCGGCCAGAGCGGGAGCGGGGAGCGGGGACACGCGCGAAGAAGTTTCCCCTTCCCGCCAGAGCCCGCGCGAGCCACCCCACCGCCGCCCAAAATCGCCTGCGTGCGCCGCCACGAGCTCGGCTCCAAAGAAACGAGGGTTTTGGTCGTTTCCAGAGGGCCAGGTGGAGAGGGTGTTTTTGGCTCTGGGAAGCCAGGCTCGCTCGCGGGCCACGACCACAAACATGGCAAGTTGCAGCCCACGGGCGCAACCGGGCCTCCAGGCTAGGGTCGCAAACGCGCCCAAGTAACTTAGGACTGATAATTCAACGACGTTGGTGATAGCTTTGAAAAATAATAAGAAAACTCAGTGACAAAAATATATACTAGTACTCAAAAGGCTTCAGCGAAAGGTTTTACAAGAAAGCCTTTGGAAATTGGAATACAAGTAATTTTACAAAATTTCACTGGAACCCAGGCATAAAACAATCGATGGAGGCAAGCCAGATTGGTGGCTCTAGTGAGCAGGGGCTCTAGTTTAGCGCACCGGCAGATGCCGCTGGAAAGTCCCTGGTTGCCGTTGTTCATGCACTCGCGGCAGTAGGTGGGAAGGAGTGAGGGAAATGACGATGGCGTCAGAGAGGATGGGTCACCGTTGCGGCATCGTTTTCAGGTTCCGCCAACGTTAGCTCACCGTCACTAGTGGCGTCTCATACCATAAGCAAGTGCTCGATTTTCCTGTGAATGGAACTGATCAAGAGTCAAGGCCATTGACTCCCCATCCCGAGGGCTACAGCTACAGGGTGTGTCAGGTTACGGTAAGGCCGCGAGCGTAAGACTATCTCCAACAACAACACCTAAAATACAATGACATATTCAACGTTTGGGTAACGCTACAGTTAAAGGGTTCAATACTCATTCGACATCTTCTCCAACAACAGGACCTAAAAGATAATCCTTTCTGCAAATGGGTTTCTAGAAGAGATGATAATCATAGGCCCTGTTCGTTTCTCTTATAATCGGTCTTTTTCAGCTTGTTTTTCAGCCGGAACAGTATTTTTCTTTCACAACAAATCAGCGGGAACGATGTTTTGGCTTGCTTTTTCAGCGAAGCGAACGGGACCATATTTGGGTTGTGCCTCTCAGGCAACCCAAAATGGGTCTCCCGTATAGGTACTTTGTTGAAGATTAATTTTGGATCTCCTGCTACCTATTTTGGGTTTAGGTGCCCATATGGATTAGCTATTGGAGACAGTCTAATGAGGTGAGTTACATTGTTGAGATGAAGACGAGGAAAAATGAAAATGATGGCAGTTGACGGCTTGACGGGCACCATGTATGATGTATAGCCATGTTCTAGCGAAGGGTGAAATTAGACATCGCTAATGCATGGGGCGTCCGTCCCGACGTGTGCATCCGGCCTAGGCCTGCGTAGCGAATCGGGCCCAATAGCAATTAGCCCGTTTTTCCTCTACGCTCTCTCCTCCATCTCTACCCCGCAACATAACCCCTATGGATGGAAATCCCCACTCGCTTCGCTTGTCGCAGCTTTAACGTATCAGGCACTCGCCCCACTCCGCCTAGCGCTTCCATCCCTCCCTGTGCCGCATCTGCCGCCATGCCACGCCCACTCCTCCTCTAGAACCTTGCCACACCGCATCCACTCTTCCTCTAGAACCTCGTCGATGTGGGCGTGGTCAACGAACCTCGTCGACGTCGGCGTGGTCAACAAGTCGGACATCTTCGGCGACGTGGGGGACGACAACGGCGACCTCCTCCGGGCGCTCATCAACGCGGACCTCCTTGGCGGGGACCTCGACCTCGGCGTGTGGAAGCTCCTGGCCGTCGTGGCACTCTCCTTCACCGATGTGTCCACGCTGCTCGGGTACCTCGTCCAAGTAGCAAGGTGACACGCAACGCATGTTGCGAGCTTACGTTTTAAGTGTTTTATATGTTTCATCTGAATGTTGCAAATATTTCATCTTAATGTTGCAAAAGTAGATTGTGATGTTGCACATGTTGCAATGGTTTTACACGGCTGTTTAAAGTGTATGTTCCAAATGTTTCATCTGTTTTTTCAAACGTTTATTGCAAGTGTTTTATCTGGATGTTGTATATGCTTCACACATATATTGCAACTATTTTATCTTGATGTTGTATATGTTTGAAATATTTTTTCAAGAGTTTTCATATGTTTTTGCAAGTGTTTTAGACGCTTGTTGCAAGTGTTTCAGCTATTTCGTACGAATATTGTAAGTGATTTATTTAGATATTTTAAAAGTAGATTAAAATGTTGCACATCTTGCAACGTGACTCTGCCTGTCACAACCGTCTGCTACAACTGGTTGGACCTTGTGCCTACGCATGGGGGAGCAGAGGGATGAAGCGCTACTCGGCAGCAGGTGCGGGGAGCGGAGGGTAATGGCGGCAGGGGCACAGGCACTCCCCGCGCAGTTTCAGCGACCGCCGGTGTCAGACTCAGAAACAGACTGAGGACGCAGAAACGGCAGCCACGGGCATCCGTTCGGGTCGCTAGTATTGCCTATCAGTCATTGGTCTGTTATATACATGGGAACAAAAACACAGCCAGACGCATTACGGATTTACTGTCTGCTGTTCAGGAATGTCTCCCCGGCCCTAGGTTGAAAGAATACCAGTGTATAATTTTTAAGGGCATGTTTCGAAAAAAAAAATACAAAACAGAGGAATGGAAAAAACACAGAAAAGTGATATAGGCATCTAGCAAAACAGAGGAAAGAAAAAAAATAAGAATATGATGTGAAAGAGTGTTTGAAACGCGGGAAATCGAAACGCAGGAAAAAGCAGCAGAGAAGTACTTAGCCAAAAAAAGAATCAAACTACAAAGTAGTACTAGTCACCTGCCTCTTTTCTGACGGTGTGTTTAATGTTGTGCTCACTTTCTGATGGTAATGCACCCCATCCAGCGGCGGATCCAAAGGGGGGGCTGGGGGGGGGCTCCAGCCCTCTCTAATGGTTTGATTTCACCACTAATTACTGTAGCAAAAGTTTAATTTCACCATTAAATCTTCATGCAAATCAACATCTCCATTGTTTTAGCCTCTCCTTATCCCGCATCGTGCATCCGCCACTGACCCCATCCGTGTGTTTAATGGTGTGCTCACCTCCGACTTCGTAAAGGAAGCAGAAACCAGCGATCGGACTAGAGTTTTGTTTTCCTGTGAAATTGTGAAGGAGGCACAGTGTTCCGGAGGAAAGGAATCCTTCATTCCAAACGCGATCCTTTGATCAAAAAGGCCCTAAGAAAACACAAGTCCTTGCTTCGTACTCTTGTTTCTTACTCCCTGATGACAGGAACTTTGCAATAACCTATGGAATTTTACCACCCTTTTGAAGAATATCTGTAGAGACCACAATCACTACACAAATGTCCGTACTGTGCCCATACCCAAACACGTAGAAACCTTCCCTCAGTCAGCTTCAATTTTCCAGACGGGGGTGACAGTAATTCGTCAACAAAAAACTTAAACGCAGGTCGGCAGATAAAGCATGTAACCAAAGGAAAGCCAGATCACAAGCTGAGCTTGGAGATCAGACTAACATGTTTTCAAGCAACAGCACAGAGTACGATACGGGCACTGAAATAATTCATACGGTGATTTTAGCTCCGCTAGTAGACTAAAACATCAGGCCAGAGAATACAAATTGAACAAAAACATTGCAAGGTGATCTTGCGTCCGCACGGAGCTGAGACAAACAGCTGTTTTGAGCACAGGTGAGGGTTTACGACGTGTTGGCCTGAGCCTTGTTGAGGATGACACCTTCATACTTGACCTGGAACCACTTCATGGAGTCCTCCTTGGTCACCCTGTGCTGAATCCCGACACGGGACTTGCACCTCCTGCGGCGCGCAACACGGTAGCCAGCACGCTCGAGCACGACGTAGAAGTCCATTCCATAGATGCCTGTTGATGGATCATACCTGCAAAATACATAAGACACCGCTTAGTGGCTCTAGAGAAACAGAGCATAATGAAGACTTTGCAGCTCTGCCGATATAATTAAACCTAATCAGTTCATGATTTGACAATTTTATGGTGCTATCATTGTTAGCAATGTGCTAATGATGGATTAATTAGGCCAAAAATTCAGGTCATTAAATGGCTATTGGTACGGATTATGTAATTTATTTTTTTATTAGTATCCGAACACCCCATGCAACATCCTCCCGACATACCTCCTAAATTTTAGTAGGAGGATCCAAACACCCCCTAAGATAGCTAGCATCATTGTTAGCAATGCACAACTGACGTCTGGGATTCACATCAGCCAACACTTCAGGTCATTAAATGGCTATTGGTACATTCTTTACAGCATAATGAGTAACAAGGCTTAAAAACACTAAACATGGCTCATCAGACAAAAATTGGAACAGCAGGATAACCAACAATTAAATTATATATGGAGCACATTACAGTATTAACCGTAGGAACAAACCAAATGTAAATATGCAAAACCAGATAACCTCTGCGCAGATGACAACATTCAAGAACTGCATTGTACCAACAATGCACAGACTAAACTGTAAACTTCCACTGAACTGGCATTGCACTGACAGAAGATAATATTATCCACTTGTATGACAACTAACTATGCAATAACTGCAGAAAGGGTTGTGATTTCTGGATGCTCTGTTAATAAAGTTGCCTATTACCTCGGTCTTAAACAACAAACACCTAAAACAATGTTTTAATAAATTTGAAAAACATGCTAATAGTTAACTAAAGCCTCTATCATGTTCAGAATCAATTACTGGGCGTGGAGCTAATGGACAAAAGGAGTAGAAAACAAGCCAAGGATTTACTAGCACCAGATTATCACTGCAAACACTGGTACCGCCTCTAAGTGACCACATGGAAGCAGAGGACCGAAATTTTGAAGCTTGTAACAACAGCAACCCATAACCTCGGAACCAGTTGATATCGCAAAAACAAGAATGTACTGGCGCAACATATGGCCTTAATCATAGCTAATATTCTCGTAAAGTAAGACGGAGCCGTACTTGATACCAAGGTCGATGTGCTCCTGGATGCCGAATCCGAAGCACCCGGTGTCGCTGAAGTTCCTCCTGAGCAGCTCGTACTCCTTGACCTTGAGGCCGCTCTCAAGCAGCTGCATGGCCTTCTCGCCCCTGACAGTGACGTAGCAGGCGATCTTCTCGTTACGCCGGATGCCGAACGACCGCACCGTGTACCTCGCTGCAAGACCAAGACCAAGGCAGCAGCAGGCAAAAGGACCCACCCCCGTCAGCGCAAGGCAAGAAACGGAGCCGCAAGACCACAGCACACACTCACCCTTGGAGAAGACGGGGGTCTGGCCGCTGAGCTGCTCGAGCACCTTGGCGGCGCGGGTGAGGCGGTCGCCGCTCTCTCCGACGGAGATGTTGAGGACGAGCTTCTGCACCTTGATCTCCCGCATCGGGTTCGACTGCTTCTTCTCGGACGCCTGCGGGACGCCGCGCGAGTTAGCGTCACATGTCACAGGCGGGACGAGGAGGAGGAAGGTGAGAAGATGGGAATGGGAGCACGAGGACGGAATGGGTACGGTACCATGGGGGCGAGGAGACGGCCGGATCCTCTTCTCCTCCGTCTCCTTCGGCGGCGGCGGCGGATGGTGGAGGAGATGGGCGTCTAGAGATGAAGGGGGTGGCGGCGCGAGGTTAAAAGGGAGCAACCCTAGCTGGGGTGGTGGTGGTGGGAGCTGGGACAGGCTTTTCATGGGCCTGTTTAGGCTTTTTGGGACCATGTGATGGGTTTTGGGTTCCTCTCTGATGGGCCGAAGAAAGGCCGAATGTAGCAGGCCGGCTGGAGTACCGTCGTCTTGTACCTTGAGCTGAGCTGCAGGTAGCGACAAGTGTGTGTGCAGGCGCATCGCCGGGCAAATCCCCTTTGGCAGGGTAGGGGTTAGGCCGCACCTGCCAACGGAGGGTTGCCCTGCAACGGACCTCCACATTTCAACAAACACATGCTTCATTGCTTCAAGGATAGGTGAGATACCGATCGAAGGTAGGCATGCATGCATGCCGTTTTAACTTATCCCATGCCGGAAAGGGCATAACCGGCAGGACATGCGCCGTCCTCCTTTCACCGCGCCGGTAAAGCAAGGCCGGTCAGCCGGAGAAATCTCAAAAAAAAGATATATACTCCTACGTGCCAACAAATGCAAGCCAGAATCCATCGCTTTATTCCGATGGCGATGGAGATAGGTCACATGCATGCCTGTTACGCGACGAAAGGCCGCCGCCTCTTCTGATCGAGGACGAGGAGCCTGGCAAACAAAAAAAAAAAAAAAGATCGCAGAGGTATGTGGCTTTGGCTGTTGTTGCTTAACCGAGTGTGAACTACAGGCCCTGTTCGCATATCCTTTAAACTTAGCTTAACTCACTTCTTTTTTTTTTATCCGGAACAGTATTTTTCTCTCATAAATTTTTTCAGATTTTCAGATTCCTCAAGCGAACGGGGCCATGTTGTGTGATATCTGCTCGATGAGACAAACTGACTGCTCTGCATCTAAACAAACGCAGCAGGAAGGAATCCAGGGTGAGACGGGCAGGCGGCTCTTGGGAGCCCCAACAGCTAGCCCCCCTTCGCTAGACGGCATTGCACAATCTCACAACATGGAGAGAGAGAGATTTCATGGCGACAGACTAGAGAAGATCCGTGCGAATGTCCAGCGGCAACGCGCACACAAAAAAGGCACACAGCTCAATCATGTTTCCTTTTTTCCTTTGACGAGATGCGATTATTCATGCTTGGTCCACATGCCAGGCAGCCAGCTGAAAAAGAAGAGAGAAGCTTCCCTGGAGTGGTTCCGATTGTGTAGCACATGCCGAGCATATCCAGATTTCGTCTTCAGATTTCCCCTCTGCTGTTTGCAGCGTATATTTATAGGTAGCTGACGGGCACCGAGGTAAGGGCATGGATAGCTAGGTGAGGGAGAGAGAAGAAGAGAAGGAAACAGAGCAAAGAACAATGGCAAGCAGAGCAGAGGACGATGTCAGGAGCATGTCCTTGTGTGAAGAGGGTGAGAATCACAGTGCGGTTCTCCTCTGGCATGAAGGCTGAGAAGCTTGCCACAGGGCTAGGCCCACGGCCCTTCCTTGCCAAAGGAGAATTGCCCTGCCATTCACAACCCTATAGTAGATGTTCAGTGCTCTGCTTCAGTCTAGTTGGAAGCTTTGGCATAACGGGGGGGGTTTTTTTTTTGAGTCCTTGGCATTGATAGTAACTTATAGTAAAGAGAGAGACAACGTCTAATAAGCTGATCGTGGACTTCGCCCGAGTTTTGAACTTCTTTTCACATAAAGGTTCTTAGTTTTCAGTAATTTTTCAAAAGAAAAAAAGAAATGCTATAATTTGATTCTATGATGGCCGAACCTGAATTTCATTACCATGACGACAAAATTACGAAATCTTAATGTTTTCAGCCTACCTAATCACTACTAATTACCCAAGTGTTTCCCTCCATTACAATTAGTCGATCTGGAACACAAAAGAGCTATATATAAGACTTAGACGACATACAAACCGCTAACCGTGACTATGTGACCCAACCATACCCCACTCACAGACTTAGAGACGCCCATTGCCCACCCCCATTCCCATAAACACACATAGACACACACCTTATTCTTATAAGCAATTCTGAAGACTAAGTTGACATATCTTGAAATTGGTGAAGTCACCGAAAGTGTCTTGCTATTTGATGGACACGTCGTCTACTATTAAAAGAATGACACTGTTAAATCCTATAATAAATTCAGAAAAATACAAGCACTCGTGCCAAGTCGATGACTTAATCTAGGTGAGGGGTTCCACTACAAGTAACCAAGCTATGCGAGCTACACATATGCTAAAAGACAAACATGATAGAACTATCAAAAGTAAAAGCAGAAAATAGTCCAAATAATGTAGAAAATCTAGGTGGGTAGGTTCCACCACAAGTAATCATGGTTGTTACTTATTTAAATCATTATTTTGTGCTATATTATACCTAATATTGATGAAGAGGTTCATAGCAGAAATAGAGTGAACAGAAGATCTAGAAGACAACACCAACCTCGCAGGTGCCTTACTCCATCACATATAGATCATACTCGACCATTACAGTTAACATAGCATCACCATCCTCCAAAAGATAATTTGGTTAATTTAAACAACATATTTGGTACTCTATTTTGAATATGATTTTTTTGGTCACTAGTCTATATATTGAATATAGCACAAAATGTTGATTTGAATAAACAATGTGCATGACTACAAGGGATAATATCACTACAAAGTTCTAAATACCTTCAAATCTAGCACTAATGGACACATTATTTTTTTTAGAAAAATGGAACTAGTGTTGTATTTTCATGATTTAGAATTAATAAGTTATGTTCTTTTTAGAAAAATAACTAGTTTTATTGATTTATTTTATAAAAAATACCAAACCGCCTTTGGTACCTACTAGATGGTCGAGTATGTCCAGTAACGATAGTTTGGTGGTCAAATATTTTTGGTTTTCCAGTTAAATGGTAAAAAATAAACGCACGCAATAGTTTGTATGACAAAAATTGAACTGCTCCCTTGTTTTATGACCATCAATCATGCGTTCGATGATTTGCTAGAGATACAAAGTACCTTTGAATTAAAGATCTTAAGAGCAACTCGCAATAGAAGAGCTATCCATGTTGTGTAATCTATATTTGAGTATTTTGGAGGAAAAAAGAGAGAAAGTCCAACCGCTATTGTATTTGATTTTCTAAAATAGCGAGTCACCTATCTCGCACGTTAGATATAGCTTGCATGTGTCGCTAGCCATCCGCCTCACCCTAGAAAGGCTGTTGGAGTTTTTATTTTTTTGTGTGCTGGAGTTTCTATTTTAGAGGTCTTTGAGGTTCAAAAAAAACATTGTATGCACCTTTCATGTTAAGTACTCCCTTCACCTGAAATGCAAGGTATTCAAGCAATGTATGCACCTTTCATGTTAAGTACTCCCTTCACCTGAAATGCAAGATATTCAAGCAATTTTAGGGTCAAATATAAAGTCTGGCAAAGGACTAGTTTTCTCTCACTAATTAGTTAGTTTGGTTGTTAACTTGTTTAATTTTCTAGTAACACATAATTTAAAAAGGCAGGCAGGCATGCATGTCATTGATTTTGGCAACCAATCACATGAGTCATTTTGGGTAAGATGGTGTTTAAAAGTTTTGCATGGATACATGCATGGATGGGGTTTAAAAGACATGCACACATGAATAAGAGCATTTCCAAAAGTTTTTTTTTCTAAAATTTATTCTTTAAATCAACATTTGGAGAGTGATTTGAGTAAATATCGTTGTACCCTCCAATAGCTTTTCTATACCTTGTAGATCTATCCTCGCTCTCTATCTTTGGTTAGCGAGAAATCCAGAATAGAAGATATCTATATTTGGAGATCTAGTTAAAGAGCTAGTTGGAGGGTATTTTTTCACCAAAATCTTTGTTCCTATAATTTAGAAAGGATATAAAGAGTCTCTTGAAGTTGTTCTAAGGTTTTTGCGCAATACAGAATACTTATAATTTGAGACAAATTTTAAACCTTTGATATCTTGTATTTTAAGATGGAGTATAAATATAGAGTTTTTTTGAGTTCCACAAATGTTGAAGGAATGTTTCTTTCTATCTTAGACAACACTCTTCCTTAGTTACACAATGCACTATGTGTTTTGGGTGCTTGAAATTCGTTCAATTTCTGTTACAAGTGAGGTGATGCTTACCCGTGTGTTACTAGCAGGGTCAATTCTGAATGGCAGGGCAATTCTCCTTCGGCAGGGATAGCAGTAGCATTGTTGACAGATCCACGCCAGAGGAGAACTACGCTGTGATTCTCACCCTAAGTACCCAATGTTGGGCTTATCACCCTTATTCTCTTCTGGTTGCCCTATCTTCAGATCTTCTTCTGGCCTAGTCTTTTTCTCGCTTTGTGTTGTCTTCTACCGATTATATGTATATATACAGAGATAAATAGCAGGAATTAAGACAAAGGATATGGATATGCTGCCTGGATATGCTCTGAAAATCAGACTAGTCCCTATTCTCATCTGATCCAAAAAGACAAACTTTTTCAACATATATTCTTCCCTTTGATATTGTTGCTAGCACAGCATGTAAACACTAACATTAAGACACTAGCACATGATTATTTTCGAAATCCTTTGCATAGACATGCAATTGGTGGACCATTATGATTAATATTCCTCTCCATGTGAAGATGTCCCGTTGATATTTTCCCTAAAAATGTGTCATTGATATTATACTTCAACAAGGAACATCTCACCGCATGCCCTTTCAATCAGTCAATAACCTGATATGCATCTGGTTCTTTTAAGTATCAAAGTGCCAAAAAGCCATGTAAATTTGAGTTCCCTTAGTGCCACAAAGCGCGTAAATTTGAGGCACTAAAATACTTCATGCAGTTGACCAAATCCTGCTTACCAACAAACTTACTCTCATTTTACTTCATCCCCCTAAACTCAAGTTGAAGAGGACTTGAACCTATGGTAGTAACATAAATCGAATCTAGGTGGTGGAGGTGAACACCCACACGGCCACACCTCCCAGCTCCCATCAACTGATCTAGCATGCTCAGTTCCATAGTAATATGGATTAGTAAAGATGTATTTTAAACTACTTTAGATTACTAATTACGTATTGTAAGCTTTTGGAAAATATGTTTAGTTGCTACTAAGTCAA